AGTTTTGCACCATCATCTTGCCCTAAGTGCCCCCAGAATGCCACTCACTTCATATTCTGTGTCTCAGGAATGGTACCGTCACACACCTGATTGCTAATTGAGAATCCTAGGAGTCTTCCTGCACACACACACACACACACACACACACACACACACACACACACACTGCCCAACTTAGGCTGCTTCCAGCTTCTCAGTAGATGGCAATTCTTTCTCACCATCTCCATGGCCACCTCCCCTAGGTCATCACCACTGTGTGCTCACATTTCCTACACGTCCATAAATGAAGGTCGTCATGTCTCTCTCCTGCTTAAACATCTCTAATTTCTCTTGATACGTAATCCTCAGCTAACAATCCCAGTCTCCAAGCGCAGCCCTTAATGAGTTTGCCCTTGCCTCTGCTGAGTCACTTCCCACAGCTTCTGCCTCACTTATATCATCACCCAGTAGTATCCCGAAGTCCTGATCCACTTGCAAGGGCTCAGAATACACGTCTCACCCTTCCTGACTTTTGCTCCAGCCATTATTGTAAAACTTCCTGTGAAGACACTGCTGAGGTTTTCGACACTTTCTTTAAATTAACTCTCAGCCCTCATGACTTCCATTCTCTCCATTTTGCAGCACAGGGCACATAACGTGTTTTGGCACTAGGATTTGAATCCTGTTGACTACACTACTGACACGGCCTTGTCTTGCCCACCTGGGGGATTCCTTGTTAGCCTTCAATGCCCAACTGAAGCAGCACTTTCACCATAACATTTTCTCCACTCCCCCCAGATTTGGACATTCATTTTTCCCTCGACAGTGTCATTGTACCTTGGTCACACCCTGTTATAATGCCCGTTACACCCTTGTGTGTCCTTGTAAGCGCCAACCCAACCCTGCACAGAGATCGGGTTGCACATGAGAATTACTCTGGACCCTGGAGGTTCCCTCACCGATTCCCTCCACTGCCTGTTTACTCATCCGCACCTCCTGTGTGAGTCTTACTGTCAGTTTAGCAGCTCTTACTCATCCTAAGCTCCCTCCCTTCCTCAGCACCTTCAGTTTGATTCCATGTTTACCTACTTTGTCAAACAGACCTAGACTTGCCCCTTCTCTGAACTTTCCTCCTTTGACGGGAAACCCAGTAATAACTGTGGGGAGCTGTCACCACAGGCAACCCTGATTGGGTGTGGCTGATCTCTTCACCTGTCACTGGACAATCCACAGGAACTTGGCTCTGCTCTTTTCTTTGGTTTCACTCAGATTACCACATAAGGCCAGGAAGCTATTAAAAGATCGAATCAGGAAAACCAAACAACTGGGTTCAGGAAGAACAGAAATGCCCGAGTTAGACTGTGAGTTCTTCTCTGCCAATAGTCCACAATCTACACAACTCTCTCCAAGCTTCTCTCTTTCCAGGCAGCTACTGGCTTGTCCCCCACCCCCTTCCAATCTATTCATTTATTTCAAATGCCCTGCTTCCACTCACTCAGGGTACCAAGCGTCTTCATAATTTCCATGTGCCACGATTCCATAGTTTTCTCTATGCCAATGTCTGTGTGTTTCTAATGTGTTTCCCAAGAACAAGAAGCTGATTCCGGTCCATCTTTTCATGTCACGTCGTGAAATGTTCACTGCTAGCACATCCTCTGGACTGACCACCTTGAGTGCAGTACAATTCAATCAGCCATGAGGCAGGGAATAGGGTCAAATAATGCAACGCTTGGCCAAATAGGCTGCCCCTCACACAGGGGCTGTGAGTGAGGTGTTTTCCCCTAAGAGAGACTACAGAGAGGCCAGAGTTGTGGTGCAGAGGGCCACCGCCACCTGTAACACCAGTGATCCGTGTGGGGCCACAGTTCAAGTCCTGGATGCCCCACTTCCAATCTGGCTCCCGGATAGTGAACCTGGGAAAGCAACGGAAACCCTCCTGTAGGAGATCTCAATGGATTCCCAGCCTTCATCCTGGCCCCGCCTGACCACTGTGGTCATCTGCAGAGTAAATCAGCTCACTCTCCCACTCTCATTCTCTCCCACCCTCTTTCTGTAGCTCTGTCTTTCCAATAAGTAAATAAATCTTCTTTTAAAAATAAAAGGGACTATGGGCCCAGTGGCGTGGCCTAGCGGCTAAAGTCCTCACCTTGAACGCACCGGGATCCCATGTGGGCACCAGTTCTGATCCCGGCAGCTCCACTTCCCATCCAGCTCCCTGCTTGTGGCCTGGGAAAGCAGTCAAGGACGGCCCAATGCTTTGAGACTCTGCACCCATGTGGGATACCTAGAAGAAGTTCCTGGATCCTGGCTTTGGATCCGCATAGCATCGGCCGTTATGCTCACTTGGGGAGTGCATCATCAGACGGAAGATCTTCCTCTCTGTCTCTCCTCCTCTCTGTATATCTGACTTTCCAATAAATAAATAAATCTTTAAAAAATAAATAAAAGGGACTATAAAAGCCCTATGATCCAGTTACAAAGTAATTTAGACTGGTGATTATTTAATAACTTTTTGATCATAGGTTTTTCTGAGAATCAGATGAAAGCCAGGGCCCCTTTACCAGAAACAATTCTCTTGTGCAGAAAAACAACATCAGGGTATTGAGGAACCCCAGCTGCCATCATGGAGTAGCCCACCACTCCCACAGGTCTGAAGTCAGAGGCAACCCTCTCTTGCAGTCATGTTTGTATCTAGAGGACCTAGCACCAGGCTTGGCACACAGTAAAGCCCCCTAAATATTTGTTGAATGAATAACTTGAAAAAATCACTAATATTAAATACGTTATTCAGGGGCCAGCGTGGTCTTACAAGGACTTAAGCCAACACCTGCAATTTCAAGTCCCAGCAACTCCACTTCTGATCCAGCTTCCTGCTAATGTGCCTGGGAGGCAGCAGGTGATTGCCCAATTACTCAGGCCTCGGTCACCCACCTGGGAGATCAGGGCGGAGTTCCTGCCTCCTGGCTTCAGCCTGGACCAGCACCGGCCACTGTGACCATTTAAGGAGTGAGGGAATTTATCTCTCCCTGCCAGTCTGCCTTTAAAACAAATAAAATGGACTTAAAAATAAAGACGTTATTTGGAGCCATAGAAAACTACTAAGTTTAAATTTGAAACAAACATCACTGGGCCACCATTTTGTTTGTTTCTGTGTCAGATTTTGTTTTTAAGTAAGCAGTTGCTCAGAATTGCATGCTAGGAAAATGCTGTCTTATAAACGGTCAGTAAAGCAGATGGGAGGGAGCGAGCAGTGGCAGCCTCCAGCTGCTAAGCAACGCGAACACAAGCACTGAAGAGATATGCTTTGCAAAAAGTCAACAGAAACGTTACAAAAACAAAGTCCCGGAGACTTAAAATTACCAGGGCAAGAGAGAAAAGCCTGATTGTAAGCTATGGAGCCCAAGGCTGTAATAGCAAGTTAGAGGGCCTAACTAAACCACAGATTACACACCCAGGACTGGAGTCTGACCATGTTGGAGGATTGGGTCACATGGGAGGAATGGAGAAGTCAGGATGAGCTCACCGCATGAGGAGCACTTTCCTTATACAGGATCTGATACAGACTTTCCAGGGGAGATACACCCCCCAGATCACTTCCTCCCAGGCTCTGTTTTAGAAGGCCGCCCTCCCCCTTACTGAGCCCTTCCAAGAGCCATCTCCACGCCAGCCTTCTCTCCTTCCTCTACCTCACACTGTCGCTGGGAGAATGAGTTATCGGGGTTCAGTCTCAGCTGTAACAGATTCGTCAAGAAGCAGTGAAATGCGGGTCTGGGGTAGAGAGGCAGGTCAGCTGCTCGGTCTGAGAGCAGGGGGCAGGAGGCAGCTCACATTCACCCTTCACCGCCTCTATCCTACAGTGCTTTCTTTTTACCATTTAATCGCTTTGTATTTTCATAAACAAGAGGCATTTCAAAATGCTATAAGATGCAGCACTCGGTACACACAATTTGAAGAAACTAAACACAGAACTTGGCCGTTACCCAGTTCTATGCACCAAACATGAACAAATACATTAACAGGAAGAAAACAGGCTAGGAAAAAGGCATATATAGTAAATTCTTTACAAAAACACAATGATTTTTTTTTTAAGGTTTCTTTATTTACTTGAAAGCCAGAATTAGGCAGGGAGAGAGACAGCCCATCTGCTAGTTGATTCTCCAAATGACAGCCTCCATCAGAGCTGGGCCAGATCAGAGCTCTGTGTCTCCCACGGTTGCAGAGGCCCAAGCACTTGGGCCATCTTCTGCACTTTCCCAGGCACATTAACAGGAAGCTGGACCTGAACCAGGGCCCTAATGGGAGGCCAGCACCACAGGCAAAGGATTAGCACGCTATACAATCACACCAGCCCCTACCCTGCAGTTTTCCAAGCCCTTTTCAAAACTATCCTTTCATTTAACAGTGCAACAACATTATGAAAATAGAAAAGACCGTGTGACCTATTTTGCAGATAAGGAACTGAGAACTCGGGGGTGAGGGAATTTTGTCAAAAGCCTTGCAATGAAGGAACAGTCGGGATTAGAACTCAAAGCTTCCGGTTCTTAACACAGCTCCCAACTCTTCAGCAAACGTCACACAGATAACACTACAAGTGCAGGGCAGTTTTAAAATTGTAGTACATATATAATATGTACATGTATGTAATATGTATGTGTATGTATGTATATGTGTGTATACACACACACATAGTTAGTCTTTTTAAACTGTCCTCATTTTGAAGTTGGAACGAGATAACAATCCCTGAACCAGTGGCACCAAGAATCCTTGGTAACCATCAGTGACCACTACTGCCCAACAATCTTCACTGTAGGGAAGCTGCTGATGCACAAATAAGTCCTGCCAAAACCCAACGTAAACTCCCAGTCAGGAACGGGGGCCCATTTGGAAAGAGAAAAATCCCCGAGGGTCACCCGTGGGAGTTGAGCCGGGTGTGTGTGTGCACGCCTTCGGGCACAGCGCGCAGCGGGGCGGGCGGGGCGCATGAGTCAGGCTTGAGCAACGTGGGCGGGGAGGCCACCGCCCCGGCTAGGCTGGGCACTCGGTTCCCCACGCTGCGCTCCGCCGCACTCGCCCGCAGCCGCCGCCAGCCCCGCGCAGCTCTGCTCGGTAAGCCCCGGTAAGCCCCGCTCTGGCTGCGTCTTCCTCCCAGAGAGAAAAACAAAAAAAATCAGCAAACGTCCCGCCGGGCAGTCTCTGTGATTGCCGTGCGGACGTGGCACGAACTGGTGCAGGAAAAATTCGTCTTACCGGAGGGGAGGGAGGAAGATCACCACCACCCCACCCCCCGCCCAAGTCATCTGCAGGTGACGGCCGGGGGTGGCCGGGACGGTCGGGTAGCGAACCCGGAGGGCCCTGGGCCAGCGAAGGGCGGAGGTGTCCGGGCCGAGGCCCGGGAGCGAAGTTGAAGACCGGGGTTGAAGTTTGGAAGGCGTCGCTGGCTTTGTTGTGCAGAGCGGGATCTTTCGGGACGCGCTGACCCGAGTTTCCCCAAGCAACGGCAAGCGGCAGGGACACTGAGGCTGACGCCTGGGAAGCGCAGCCCTGCGCTCTCCTCGCCGGGTGGCCGCCCTCTGGGCGCGCGCCCGGCCGCCTGTCCTCCGCACTCTCCATTCCCCGCGCGCCGTCCCTTTGCGTCCGCGGCCACTCCCGTCCAGGCCAGAGGTCCGCGGGCGAGGCGCGGCTTGCGTGGATGCAAGTGCGTGAGAGACCCGCAGAAGAACGCGCGGTGGCGCAGGGACGAGATCTGATCTCCCACCACCGGCACCGGCGTCCGAGCGCGGGAGGGAACCGGGACGTGGCCACGCCCGTCCCCCTCGAGCGCAGTCCGGGCTGACCGCGAGCCCGATGGTCACCCAGGGGTGGGTGACCAGCCGCTGGGTCCCCCCTGCTCCTCTCCTTGCCCTGCGTGAGGGAGAACCCGAGTCACGGGGCACCCCGAAAAGGGGGCCCCGCCCCGGCGGGCGGCGAGGGCCAGGAGGGAGCGCCTCGGGCCGGAAGCGAGGCCCGTCTAGGTTCCGTTCGTCTTCCTCCTCCTAGGTGGACGGCGGGCGGGGAGGCTGTGGCTGCAGTTCGGGAAAGTGCAAATCGTGTGGGGGGGGGGCGGGGAGGGGCGACCGCGTGCATTTCCGAAAATGATCTACCCCCAGATAAACTTCGTTATCTATTCCACTGTCCACAACCGTTTGAAGTACTCTCCGATTCATATTCTCTCTCTCTCTGTCTCTCTCTCTCTCTCTCTCCCCACCTCTCCCTCTCCTGGAGCTGGGAAAGTTAGCGTGCATTTTTAAAATTCTTTCATCGTATCCGGTGGTTTTGTCCTCTGCAGTCTGAGGTGCCACCAGGGCAGACGCCCGAGGCACATGGGCAATGGGGAGGGCGTGGGTTCGGCCTGGTCAGCCCCTGTGGCCTCCTGGACAAAGCCTTGCGGACTCCTGGGTCCCTTTGCCAAAATCCCCTCGAGCTCCACAGTCAGGCGTGTCAGTCATTTGATACTTTCTTTGGGGAATGACTTCCCGGGAAAGCGGTGGAGACGCTTTCACTCGCTCCTTAAGGCTGAGAGCAACAGTTTACAAGAGGGAAAATAATCTACATTACAATGGGGATGGTTGTTAATGAAACCCCACGGAGCAGAGCGGAAAGGCGCTCTGAACCTGCAAAGAGAAGGAGGCAGAGAAGGCACCTACAGACCAGGAAGCCGGGCGGAGGGTCCGCAGCCGCCCACACCGGGAACGTCCTCCGGGTCTGACACACGAGATGTCAGTCCTGATAGATCGCGTTGTGCAAACGCGGCCATTTCTCGGCTGGCCGGTCTTGCTTCTTCTGCAAGCGCTCAGTGTACCAACATTTCTTTCCGGGGGAAAAAAAATTCCCTTTGGGAGTAAGCCATTCTTGAACTCTGTGACTGTGGGGAAAGGCTCCACCCCTGGAGGGGCTCTGGGGCTCGGCCTGCTCCGAGAAGCACCGGGGAATAGGGCAGGGGCGCCTGGCAGGTGCAGGAGCCGCCAAGTTCCGCGGCTGTACCGCTGCGAGCTCAGAGCAATCCTCTGCACGTGCTAATGACCGGGCTCGAAAGCTCCAGAAAGTCCGTTCCTCGGGACCAAGGAAAGGCTAAACGTTAGCTGGCCCATCTCGCCATCTAAACATAAATCATCGTTAATGCCCAGAGTGGAAGCCTCGAGGAAGGGCGGGGCCGGTTTCTCAAGAGCCTGCGGTTGCTGCTGTCATCCACCAGGGAGAGCACAACACTTCCGCCCTGGAGGAGGGGCGGACAGCCTCACCCACTTGGAAGGATTCCTTTTTATGTTCAGTCTGTAATGGCTCATTTTCTCTGAAAGGGAGATGGACAGAGATCGTCCATCTGCTCTTTTGCTCCCAAATGCCTGCGACGGCCAGGAGCCAGGCGCTCCCTCCAGGTGGTCTCCCATGTGGGTATGGGTGACAGGGACCCAAGTGCTTGAGGCATTCCTTGCTAAATCCTCAGGAACCGCATTAGCAGGGAGCTGGCCGTGCTTGGAAGGGAAAGGAGCAAGGAAGGATACAAGGGCTGGGCTGCCAACTTGGTTTCCTTCTCATGCTTGTCGATCCCTTGCTTCACTTCTGAATATCTGCACAGAAACTTCTACTGTTCGAGAAAATGTGAGAGAGCCCCAGATTGCCTTCCAGAGTACTAGAATCTCCTTCATCACGAAAGCCCCTCGGCACTCTGGGAAAATGGATACCTCTGTGTTTATCTGTGCGTCCTAACCCTGTCAGTAAACCCTGTCTGCATCATCCCATTGTAGGCAACCTTCTCCAAAGGCGAAAATGTCCCACCCCACAGAGACCGAGCGCTGCATCGAGTCCCTGATCGCTGTTTTCCAGAAGTATGCTGGGAAGGACAACAACAGCCTCACCCTCTCCAAGACAGAGTTCCTGACCTTCATGAACACCGAGCTGGCTGCCTTCACGAAGGTACCACTCCCTACCGACCCTGGGACACAGGTGGGGAAGGGAAGCTTGGCTGCTGACCCCCATCTCCTGCCTTGGTGTCACTCACTCCAACATAGTGGTCCAGGTCCAGGGTGAGCCCCAGGCCCAGGGTGAGCCCCAGGCCCAGGGTGAGCTTAGCATGACCTTTGGAGAGCATTTTCTTCTTCTCTGTGAAGTAAGAAGTGTTTGACAGATCAGAGTGAGTAAGCTGCGTGACACAGGGATTGGCACAAAAAACACACATGCCCCTCCACTTGTAAAGTTACAAACCGATGAAGTTCTTGCAAAACTGAAAATACATTTGAGGCACGATCCCCCACCCCTTCTACAGCAGCGCGTAGCCAAGCCAGCCTCAAATGTACTCTGCGCACTCATGTTCACCTGTGGTTGGGCAAAATCATGTCAGGCAAAGCCTGCTTCATAGGAAAGTTGAGTATCTTAATTACACACGTGAATGTCTTAAGACATGATGGGATGCAAAAACACAGAACACTATATTCAAGAAACACTGGCAACACGGTGCACCACTCAGGGTTAGTTGTTGACCCTCCTGGTTGTAACCGCATGGCTAACATACCTTGCATCATGAGGAATTATCATACCACCTATCAGCAGCTTGGGGAAAGAATTCAGACTTTGAGGTTTCTACTGAACACACATTGCTTTAACATCATCATAAAGTTGTAAAAAATTCAAAGTTGGGAACTACTTGTAAGTGAAGTATTACTTGGCATCATAGGATTGTCTTCAAATGCACTCCCCCACACTGGCCACCACCACCCAAACGACCCAAAGGCTATGAGTGCTCTGTCCAGTAGCACTCCCTGCAAGGACATTCTGTATCTATGCTGTCCAGTGTGGTGGCCACCAGCTACTTGTGCCTACCCTTGAAACATGACTAGACTGACTCTCTTGGTTAACTGATTCCAGTTGAATCATAGTCCACCATATGTAGCTAGTGGCTGTGTGCGTGTTTGGGGACCCAGATAAGCAGGGCCTGTGTCTTTGTCCCCCTCACACTCAATCTACTTTTACACAGCTTATATCTTGCCATTGCATGCAATCCTTGAAGGAAGGGCTACTGATTTATCAAAATGGAGTCACCCAAAATGTCACAGAAAGAACCCCAAACTTGGAGCAAAAAAACCCAGGTTCAAGTCTAGTCTGCCCATTAGGCAGTTCATTTTATCTCTGTTTCTGGAAAAAGAAAAGACAAATAGCCCTGTCCTATACTTCACACTCCTAGCAGAATAAAACATGACAGCATCTTTGAAAGCCTCCTTAGAAAACGCAGTAAAAATGTGTTATTATCATCTTTGCAGAACCAGAAGGACCCCGGTGTCCTTGACCGCATGATGAAGAAGCTGGACCTCAACAGCGACGGGAAGCTTGATTTCCAAGAATTCCTCAACCTTGTTGGTGGCTTGGCCATCGCCTGCCATGAGTCCTTTGTCAAGGCCCAGAAGCGTTTCTGAGGCCCCTGTGGCACTGGCAGAGCCACCCTGTGTGCTGTCCTTCCCCCTCCCAACCCCCCACACCCACCACTCCACACTGGCCGCTCCTGCTGGCAGTAATAAAGCAATACATTTGTATCTTTTTTTTTATGACACACACTGAAGTGTTGGTAAATGTGTGCCAGGGAGGGTGGAGAGTGGGAGGAATGTAAATCAGATTCATGGGCACCCTTACCAGCAAGAACACAGTAAGTGGGAACAATGACTAATGACACGATGGGAATCACCCTCAGTTACTCAAGTGTGATGGAGTGTTATCACTGCCACGACTCATGCCTTAAATGGCCTTCCCGGCTGCAGGCCCGAGCAGACGCCCTGGGGGTGGCACTGGGCAAAGCTGACCAGGTCCTGCGTTTCTGTGCCTTCTACTGCGGGAAGAACCTAAGGAAGGAAAAACGACTAAGGCCTGTCAGAGAGTGCAGAATGGCAGGAAGAAAAGATGACGACCCCACCTTAGAAGTCAGGAAGTTCACAGTTCTGAGGACCAGACACTTTTGCTGAAGGCTGAAAGACAGAGGAGGGCGTGTCAGAGGAAAGAGACAGGCAGAGGTCACCAAGTGAGCAAGTGAGCTGGAGCCGGGGGTGTATGAGGAACAGAAGGGGGCTTGTGTTGTCAAGGTCTTTGTGGCCATGCTCAGCTTCCGCTGCTGTCCACACTGGTTTCAGCTTTTTTGTTTCTGTTTTTTGTTTGGTTGGTTGGTTTTTTTAAGATTTTTTTTTTTTTATGTCTTAGGCATATTTACAGAAAGAGACACAAAGAGAGAAAGATCTCCAACCACTGATTCACTCCCCGAATAGTTACAAAGACAACAGTTGAGCCAATCCACAGCCAGGAGTCAGGAGCTTCCCACGAGGGTGCAGGGATCTCAGGACTTGAGTCATCCTTCTCTGCTTTCCCAGGTATTAACCAGGGAGCTGGATGGGAAGTGGAGCAGCTGGAACACGAACGGACACCCACATGGGATGGCAGTGCTTGAAGGTGAAGGATTAGCCTGTTGAGTTATGGCTTCTGTCCCTCTGATGGAACAGTCAGGAGAGCCCAGAAAAGAGACAGCAGCAAGCAGCTGTCCCCAGGACACAGGGGCAGTGAGATGTTTCAAAGAAGCTCTGATTCCTGTTCCATTGATGTGAGTTGGAACTGATTGGCAGGGATTTCTCCTGAACAGAGGTTTGCTTTTGTGAACCAAGTGGGATGGATCATAGATATGACTTCTGAGGTCCCTCCCTTTTGGCTCTAACATTCCAAAATGAACGTCAGTGTCAAGCAAGTCCCAGATTTTTCAAGTAGAATAATAGTCACCTCTTGGATGAGTTCTTTAATTCATTATCAGCACAAGGGGAAAAAAATCTGTAGTCAGTGAAAGCCTCCATATTATTCCATTAGCACGTACACCCTGTATGAAATAAGTGTCATTATCCCAAAGAGTACTGATCCAAGAAAAAAAAGGAAAAATACCAGATGTCCTAAGTTATACTGGTCTATTGGCCATTCTACAAGAAGTCACTGGCTTTAAGACATCAAATGTTAGGAAATCTTTACTTACTTGGCACTCTCAAGTTTTGATAAGTAAGATCCAATCAGCATCAAGCTTCTAACTCCAGATTCAAATCAACAACATGCCATGGATCGTCTCCTATAAGCAAACGAGTGTTACAGAGGTACCAAGCAGAAGGGTTGGTTCAATGAGGCTGTGGAGTACTGGAGGGGCTGTTAGGAGGGCTACCTGGAAATAGTGGGCATTTATGATCGGAGTCTGGAAAGAAGACCTAGTGTAAGCAGAGGGCAGCAGAGAGAGGAAAATCTGGGGACATGCCCACAGGTAGGAAGAGAGGACAACCAAAGGAAGAAGCTTCAGCAAAGGTGAACAGAAGAAAACATCATCAGGAGAGCAAGGCCAGTGAACCACATGGAAAAGGACCAATAGGGGCCGGCATTGTTGCACAACACGCTAAGCCTGTCAGTTCCAGATCTTCTCCTTAGGATGTAGCTCCCTGCTAACACTCTTGGGAAAGCAGTGGAAGTTGGCCTCCACCACCCATGTGGGAAACCCAGATGGAGATCCAGGCTCCTGGTTTTGGCCTGCTCCAGCCCTGGCCATTGTGACCCTTGGAGAGCAAACTAGCAGATGGGTTTCTATCTTTTCTTCTCTGTTACTGCCTTTAATATACAATAAAAATTTTAACCTCCTGTCTTTTAAACATTGATGGTCCTTGGGTCTGCCTGCCAAGTCACCTCCTCACTGATCATAGCATGCCCCGCCCTGGAGATTTTGGCCATGGACAGCTCCAATTATCACAACCCAGCTGGAGCACCTGAGCATCCAAGCTCCCTCCTAGACTTCTCATAAAACAGTAAAGTGATATACCTTTGTCTTTGGAGGCTGTGTTCCAAGCTCCCCACCCCCCATGGATGCCTGGAGCTACCACATCCCATAAGTACAACGATTTTTCCTATGTATTTATAGCCATGATTTAAAAAAAAAGTTTTAATGCATATATGGTCAATTATGTGATCTCTCTTTTCAAAAATTTATTTATTTGAAAGGCAGAGTGAACAAATGTAAGAGAGAAAGGGAGAGAGAGATTGTTCCCGTGTTGGTTCACTTCCCAAAAGTCCACAATAACCATGATTGAGTCAGGCAAAGCCAGGAACAAGGAACTCCATCTGATCTCCCCGTGGGTAGCAGAGACCCAACCACTTGAGCTCCCAAGATGCACATTAGCAGGAAACTGGACCAGTTATGGAGTAACCAGGGCTCAAAGTGAGCACCCCAAAACAGGAGGCAAGCATCCAAATGGCAATTTAATCCCATGCACCATCACACCCACTCTTGTGATAGAATTGTAATTTACAAATTAGGCACAGTGAGAGGTTAACAACAACAGCTTAAAATTAAAATAGAACAATTAAACAGTAACAAATATTACTTAAAACTTATGAATTATTTATTTCTGGAACTTTCCATTTAAAACACTTGAGCTGCAGTGACCACAGATTCCTGAACCCACGGATAAGCCGAGACAGGAAACAGCACCTACATGCACCTGATTGGTGTGCCCAGAAACACACCAACTCTTTATCTCCCCACCTCTGGGAGCCTCACATCGGTTCAAATCCCCAGGTTCATTGGTTTTTCCACCCTGCACCTCTTTCCACGCCATCACCACCTGTCTGTCATCCAGCAAGGTGGCCTTTTCTTGGTTGGTCCCTCCCCTCCGACCTTTCCCCTCCCAGTCCTGTCCTTTTCCAGCAGTCTCCTGTCTGGCATCAGGCCCTCCCAGGGATGCTGGTTCTCTTGAACCCCTAAGGCCAGTACAATCCAGCCATCTTAGCTCAAGGCAGGCCAATCCCTCTCTATATAAGCCTGCCACACCTGGCTTATTTAATTCTCTCAATTCCATTGGACTTCTCTCACCTTCTTGCTGAGTGTCCCAGCGCTAGCACTGTGTGGTGAAGGAAACAGCAGGTGTGGGCTGCAACTAAAAGGAGATCTCTAAGGCAGAAATTTGAGCGCATCTACGGGTTGACAAATTTTATCTGTTTAGCTGGAGAGACTAGACAATGCTTGTAGGGAGACCATCAACTTGAGATTGAGACATTTAAGATCACTGTTATTCGCCTTTTTAGGGAATCAGCCTGAATATATTTTAAGAATCACAACTGCAGGCCCAGCACAATAGCGTAGCAGCTAAAGTCCTCACCTTGCACGTGCTGGGATTCCACATGAGCTCTGATTCTAATCCCAGCAGTCCTGCTTCCAATCCAGCTCCCTGCTTGTGGACTGGGAAAGCAGTTAAGGACGGCCAAAAGCCTTGGGACCCTGCACCCGCATGGGAGATCCGGAAGAGGCTCCTGGCCCTGGCTTCGGATTGGCTCAGCTCTAGCCATTGTGGCCACTTGGGGAGTAAATCAATGAATGGAAGATCTTCCTTGCTGTCTCTCCTCCTCTCTGTATATCTGACTTTCCAATAAATAAGAATCAATCTTAAAAAAAAAAAAGAATCATAACTGCATGTGTGGGCTGTCTCTCATCCTGTAATAAGTGACCACAAGCTAAATGACCTAAAGTTTACCATCTCAACTTCCTGAGTCCAGAGTCTGGACATGGCCTCACTGGCTTTCTCCCAAGGCATCCACCCTGGGGCTGGGCTCCCCTGGGAGGCCAGCCTGTGGAAGAACTGCCTCCAGACACACATGGTTGTGGCAGGATTTAGTTCCTGAAGGAAGTGCTATGTTGGGACCCCAGCTTCCAGCTGTATGGCCATCAGAGGCCACCCTCAGTTCCTGGCCACATCAACTTCCCATGCGGATTCATTAAAGCATGCAAGCTGTGAAGACAATGCAAGGCCGCTTCAAGAAGTTCCCAGACAAGGAAATTAATTCTAGTCTTGTGACTGGCCTTACACCTTGTACTTGCTTTTATAACACATAATGTAACCAAAAGCTCCATAAAGTCATAAAATACAAATAGGCAGCTAGTGTTTGTCCTTATGAAAGCCAAACTGAATTCTTTTAAGACTTGGCTAGAAGAATTGACAAAAGATAACTTCAGCTGTTACAGCTGCAGCTGAGACAACTGGAAATAATTGGGGATAAATTAAAAACTTCACAGAAATGCACAAAGACCTTTCACTCAGATTACCTCCCAAGCACTTTTAGGATCTCCACTTTATGTCTACCACAGCATTGTGACACCGCAGATAAAACCGCCACTTGTAACGCTACATTCCATATGGATGTCAGCTGGTGTCCCAGCTGCTCCACTTCTCATCTAGTTCCCTGCTAATGGCTTAGGAAAGTAGCAGAGGCTGGCCCAAGGATTTGGACCCTTGCTACACATGGGAAACTTGGAAGAAGCTCTTGGCTCCTGGCTTTGTACTGGCCCAGCCCTCGCCAATCGTGGTCACTCGGGGAGTGAATCAATGAACTGAACATCTCTTTTTTACCCTCTCTGTAATTCTTTCAATAAATAAGTTAATCTTCAGAAAAAAACCTAAAAATCGTTGTGATTTAGGCAAAGAAAGATAACGCAGTAAACATTGGTAACTACCTTTTTTAAGTTAAAGAACTCCTTAAAATATATTTTTTTATGAATATC